CGGGTTACGACCAACTCGGGATACGCCCAGAGTCACGGAATGGATTAAGTTCGTATCCCGAGGTACCACTGTATTTGCTTGTACTATTTCCCCCACAAAGAATAAGATTAAGCTGTACACAATTATCACTAAGGAGTTATTTTGGAGCTAACATTTTTTTAAAAACTGGAGATTTGTGTGCCAAATTTAACAGAAACATGGCATTTAATAGAAAACTGAACATTTTAGCAATATCTAAATTTTCAGGAATTTCCATATTCAAAATCTTTTGGGTATACAATACCCAGTAACTGCTTTGGTTATGTCAGTTTGCTTACACCTAATTAGTTCTGCCAAGTAAATCTATGTGCCTTAGATTTTAGACTGCCATTTTTTTTAAAAAAAAGCAACGTTCTCCTTTATGGTCTCCAAAACAAAGTGTGCAAGATGGTATAATACTTGTTTGGTAATTGAGTATGTGAAATATTCAAGAGATTTTCAGAGCAGTGTGTCTCTATCCCCCATATTAAAAACTTCTTAAAACACCTGAATGTTTAAAAAATATATAACTGAAGCAGAACTGGTTTCTTCATTAAGCATCCACTTGTTATGTAAAATGAATTATTTTGCCCCTCCGCTCCTTGATCTTCCCTTCTGGATCATATACGTCTCTCAGCTATAAGACTTTCCAGTGTATTTGTTTAATTTTCAAGTCTTTCATAACTTCTACTTTTATATTAAGTAAACAATTAAAATCAAATAACTAGCAAAAATCAAATAGCAGCTCAGGACTGAATTCTTGGTCCAAGCAGTCCCTTCCTCTTATACACAGTTCAGTATTGAAGTACCTAGTCTTAACATACCTTTAACTTGTTCCACTTCATCTTCAAAAGTTACAGAACTCCGTCGATGAGGGTAAGCACAATGTGGGTGATGAACTCCATCAGAACTATAATCTTCAAGCAGCATAACATCTGTCCCTAAAAGGAGATAATGGCTTAGACAGTTAACTTATAATTCCTGCCATGGACACATGCAAAATAGCATCTTTGTGATGTGGGCAGATGACTGGAGCTGTAGTCTCCAACACATCTGGAAAACAGCAGGCAGCACATCTATAGCGGGAATTGCACTTTACAATGGAGAAAATATGAGGTCTCAAGTCTGTCTTTTGCTTGTAATTCTAGAGCTAGGAAACAAGTGAATGGGAAGAATACTTCAATTTTCTTTTGCAGAGTTTTTCTTGTAACTAAGCCATCTTTGATTATGATTTTTCTTCTAAATTGTATTTGACTTAACTAGTCACTAAACTTATTTGTGAAGACAGGAACTGGGGGTATTTGCAGGAGAGAATCAGAGGTTACACAAACAATTATCTCCATCTTTCCTACATTCATGGAATTTTACAGGGCAGTCGAGACACTGCCATTCTCCGTTTACAGCCCGCTGGTCTTTTTCCTAATACTTCCTCCAGTATTTTTCATTGACACAAAAAAACTATGAAGGGGATGGGGGGAATCCTACAATAGCTGCACAGTATTGTCTGATGGATTGCACTAGAATTCTCCTCCTAAATTGCACTAGAATTCTCCTCCTAAACTGCATTTCAAGTTTATTGCAAGCTTTTTTTTTTGCTGCTGATGGCTCTTGTTCATTACAATGTGACTCACAGAAAGTTACCTGAATCCTGAGAGCAACTGAAACCTGTATCTCCTGTGCTGCTGCTGTGTCCTAAAGTCCGTTCCCCTGCCATGAGAGCTGTCAGGTGTGGAGATAATCCTAGATCTGTAAAAGTATTTCGCATCAAAACAAATTACCCTCTGGAGTTTTAACCAAACATCTTCAAATATCCTCACTGAATTTTATCACATTTCTTGATTTAATAATAGCTGTTATTAAATCTGAATTAAACAAACACTACCCTTGAATAATTCAAAATTAAATTTCATATCATTGGGAGCCTGTATCTAATGAAGTCAGTGAAAAAAATCTTTATACTTTTTGGCTTGGTATTGGGGCTTGAATATCTCAAAAATAATAAAAATTGAATAACTTTTAAAGAAATGCTCTGAGCATTTATATTTATCTTGATTATAACCTGTGATAATGCTTCTGCTCATTGGGGTGAAAGGACAAGGCAGCTAATTGTAAGGGAAGCCAATCAGACAGACAAAGAATGGTGTAAGCAATCGGAATTGTGGTGGAAAGGGGGAACTAATCTATACAGTACATTGAACCCCTTCTTTCCAGCTTTAATAGCAGACCATCACACAGAAAAGTTGAACTGAGACTAAGATGTTTTGTTCGTTTTTTTTACATCAGAAATAAATAAATAGATAAAAAATATGAGAAGAATTGCAAGAGGCTGATGGTTCTAGGACACCACAAAAACATACATATGCAAAGGATGTCTCCTCCCTTGGCTGCCAATTAAAAAAAACAAGAGAATAAAATTATTTGACTGACTGATCCGGTCCGTGCTGCTCTTTCTCTCTAGGAATGCTAAAACTTTCTTGCTTGAATCATCCACCTTGGCTCTGCTTCAAACTACAGTCAGCCGAGAAACAGCAACTTGAAGAGCACTCAGTCTAATGTTTCACTTTCTTCCTATCAGTTCAGTGAAGCCTATCTGAATGAAATAGGAGAGTTGGGCAGAATGAATCTCCAAGGTGTCCTGCCTGCCTTGAGTGTGTGTAAGAATGGAAATGCGGCCATGTCCAATTTTGCAAAAAGTTCACAACTGTGAAGCAGACAAAGAAACCACAGGGTAAAGGGCGGAGAACACTAGTAGTTGTATACCAGACTAATTAAATGCTGGTCCTTCTGCCCTAGCAATCTACAGTATCTTCTAGAGTCATCCAACCATTGTTGCAATAACACGAAGAGGCTTCATCTCATTTCAGCAATGACTGAGTAAAGACGCTTTAAGTCACCAATATGGAAATGGCCTCTGAGTTGCAGACTAAAACACAGTAATAAAGATATCTTGTTGGGGTATATGCCAGTTAGAAGGATAAGCAAAGGTAAGAAAATGCCCTTGATACACTTTAAGAATTAAAAAAAAATTACCTGTGATCCTATTAGAAATACTAAATAATCTGGATGTCCTTTGCCTTTGAACAAACGATTCTCTGTAGTACCGATCTCCAAAGCACATTCCCAGTAACTCCTTGCGTACAGTTTTATTCCAGAGTCCATAAATCAAAGGATGGCAAATAGCACTTGTAAAAGATAACCAAGTTGCTAATGTCTCAAAAGCAGGGGAAATGCTGTTTTTCCCCCAAAGTGCCTCAGATGTGATAACCACCATGTAAGGCCCCCATGTGATGACAAAAGCCCCAATCACAACTACAATTGTGATCAAAGCTTTGCATTGATTGGCAGAATAAACAACCCCTTGAAAAGCATTTCTTCGGCTGCCTGATGAGGATGTTGACGTACTCGAGTTTTTTCTCCCATTCCTTTGCGTATCTTCCTCTGCAATGACCACGCTCCCACAGTGAATCTTCCGTGCCTTAATCCTGGCCACACGGAATATGAAACCATAGCAAATCATCATGACTACAAATGGTAGCAAAGCACACCATATTTGCCAAAAGGCGGTGTAACCTGCCTGCTTATGCCACGCAGCTACACACATCCATTTGAACTGATCAAATTCTAAGGATGACCAACCAAAGAGGGGTGGAAGGCATCCAATTAGAGAATGAAGCCACACGTACACAATGGCAACAACAGCTCTGTTACCCGTAATCTTCATAGGGTAAACCATTGGGTACAAGACAGCATAGTACCTGAAAAACATAAAAGGAGCATTCAATAATATTAGGATATATGCAATACATTGGAAATTGAATAATACCAAAAGTGTAAAGATTAGAAGAATGAGTTTGTCTTTAGAAAATTGAATCAGATCAATTGGAGGACTTGGGTTGTCTCATGGAAAAACACTTCCTCTTTGCTGCTTAAATATTCAGATGCTGCTACATATTCATAAACAAAGTTATTAGTTCCATAATTCTCAATGTATGGACTTGGTGGCATTGTCAGTTAAAACATATTTCTCTGCCACTGCATGTTTAATGCTGGTAGATGTTAAAGACTTTTTTTTGCTGCACAGCCTTATCCAGCTCATAAAGAAAGGATAGCATACCGGTCGATAGCAATGAGTCCAAGCGTAAGCATACTGGCAGAGCTGATGAGCATGTAGAGCAGGGCAGAGAAGTTGCACCAAACTACTCCAAAGATCCATTCCCGCCGGATGGAGCTGGTAACAACGAAAGGAAGCACCAGCACCGAAAGAAGGAAGTTGGACAGGGTCAGGCTGAAAACAAACTTGTTGCTTAAGGTGAGCAGGTATGACTTCTTATAAAGAGTGAGGACGATCACCAGATTTCCTAAACAGATGAAAATAGCAATAACGATGATAGCAATTGACTCAGTGATTCTGCCTGCTCCCTCTTCCAGCCGTGCGAGGTTTTCCGAGGCATTCTCTTTACTGAGGGACAAGTTGATGCTCATTGTCAGAGCCTACTGTAATGGAACAGCCAAGACATGCTGAGCATCTGCTAAAGAAACATAAAAACAATTGATACACATACCGCACCAATGAATGCTGCTTATATATTCATAAACAAAGTTATTCGTTCCATAATTTTCAGTGTATGGACTTGACTACATTATGTTAGTTAAAATGTGTTTCTCTATACCTTATGAATGAAACTCATAGGGATCCCAAATACCACATGCATAAGGCACATCCAAGTTGAAAAATAGCACATGAACATCATGAATATGTGCAATGATATGCAAAGCATTTTCCAAAAGCAGACAGAATAAATAACTCCTATGTAAGCAGAGCAATCTTTGTGCACTGGATCCCCCTAAAGCTTAGCAACATATCCACATTATTACCTATGTCACCTTAGGTTTATTTATTCCATGTATTTATGGGATATTCAGTGAACATCAATAATTTGGAAAGAATTGATTCTCATGATACTTCTATTATACTTCAAGAACTTCAGCCAGTTATAATAATATATAAGGAAACCTGATGTTCCTACAAACCTTAACTAAAACCTCTAATGAGAACAGTAATGGAAGAGGACTATTCTTGATAAAGAGACCACTACTGCTATGGACATCCATTCCAAAGCACAGCTATGGGGAATTACTGGATGTCCTTCAGCTTCATGTGGAGCAATGGGATGCTCAGGAGCATCTCACATTGACCTGAAAGTACACAGTAGAATACTCTATTCTTAGACACCTCTGGAACACAAATTATTTTTTTTTATGGTAAGCACAGAAGATTTTTTTTGGGGGGGGGAGAGACAATTTCTGTACCCTTACGGTAGGATGGATATATTTGCTATGCTATTTGATACAAATTCCACAAGCAGAAATATGCCACAGACTAACACTTGGCAGAGGAGCTGTGAAGGCCTTGGAAAAGATATTCAGATGCTGTGATGTATTTATACCTGCAAATATCAGAAGAGTGTAAGCAATGGTATTCCCTGTGACACTCTATGGAAGCAAAAGCTGGACCTTGAAGAAGCAGGATAGGAAGAGTATTGATGCCTTTGGTGTTGCAGAAGACTCCTGAGAACACTGTGGACAGCCAAGAAAACAAACCAATGGATCATCAAACAAATCAAACCACAGTTCTCACTAGAGGCACTACTGACCAGTTATAAACAATAATCGATTATTTTTTAAGCAGGAATTACGCCTTTTTTTCCTCATACGGCCTGACCCCTCAACACATTCGCCAGGGCTACTGAATTACAATAGTGTGTTGGGCACATACACGTGACTGGAAGACGGAAAATGAAGGTGCCTGGGAAATACTAGGTAAGCAGGCCTGTGCTGGCTCGTATCAAACGATGTATTCAGACGACTAAGTTTTCCTTTCTCTTTCCGTTGTTTTGTTTTTTTACTACGATGGGCCTGCACAGTGGGATTTGTATGCAAGGTTTACCCAGAATTTTATTCCCGGTTCGCAGAGGCTCCAGCAGGGGTGGTCCCCAGTCGAACAAGATCCCCGCCTGGACGATCCAGACACCACCCTGAAAAGTGGGGAACGAGCATCCGCTTACTCTCGCCTGCTTTTGCGCCCTCGGTCTGCGGCAGAGTACAGCGAAGTCAGAAAACCCATTCTCCTCCTCGCGGGGTTGAAAAAAGCTTAGCCCGGCTCGATGCCAGAACGTTCAGCCAGCCTTTATCTCCGCTGCCGAGACATGGAAAACCGCGGCTGAGTAGCCAGGCGTCTCCCACCGCGGGCACCACCCTCGCCCAACGTACCAACCCATCCTCGCCGCGAGGCAAAGCGAGGCGGAGGCGCCATGCGATCCCTCCGAGGCGAGGACCCTGCTCCTTCAGCACGGGGTCCGTTGCCCTCTGCTCTGCACCAGAAGGTGTCGGAGACCTTCCACCGGGGTGAGACGACCCACTCACCTTTGGACTAGATTGTTCCCGTGTAGCCCCGCCACCTCGTTACGGTTGCGGGCGGGTGACTTCAGGTTACAGCTTCCCCGGCCCCCCACAGTCGCCGCCAGCCGAGGCCCAGAAAAATAGTCCGACCCCCCTTCTTTCTCGTCCATCCCCCCATCTACTTTTTCACATCCCTCCTTCCTTGAAGCACTCCCTCCATCCCCATTTCACTCCTCCCACTTCCCCACCCTGTCCTTTCTGCTCCGCCGTCCTTTTGTCTTTTAGCAGTTTGTCCCCCCCTTCATATTTCTTTAGTAATCATCTTCTTTTTGTAATTCCATTAGTCAGAAAACAGCTTTAAAATGCGGGCTTTATGTAGAGAAAACCGGTTTATAGAGCCAGTGGGATGAAGTTTTTGAAGGCAGCTCTCTCCACCAATAGTAAATAATTTATATTAGCTCACCCACTAACATTCCTTTTCTTCACTCTCCGGAAAACTTTCATGCTGTCTTCTGTTGTACTGTATCCCATTTTTCTTTCCTCAATCAAAGAGCATCTCTTGCACAAATGCAAAACAAAAATGAAGAGATTTTAATTTAGAAACAACTTCTATAGCAGACAAATTCAATAGAATGGGAAGTTCTGTAAATAAATCACATTTTTAATAAAGGATCATTCTTTAAATGAATCATGCGTGCAACCTTTCTTTCCAGCTGTTTGTAGCTATATTGGCTTGTTTGGGGATATCTGGCTTCAAATGAATAATAAATATGTTTGTTTTACCCTGCAATTCTACATGTTTAAAGTAGAAATCAGTAGAATTTACTTTCAGTTAAGTGGTGAGAGATTGTAACTTAAACTACTGCGTATGTTATAATGTGCTGTACATTTAAACCTGTAGTTCTTTCAAGCAAAATTTCACAGAACATATAGCAAGCAGTCATATACTGTCATATAGGCAGACATAAACCAGAGGTTTATAAACAGTGATTTACTACATCATTTGAGCCACTGATTGTAGTTTATTTAACAAATCATGGTCAAGTAGACCATGCCTTACCACAATGTGAGTACTCAATGGAGTCAAACTATTTGTCCATGGCTGGCTGGGGAATTCTGGAAGTTGAAGTCCACACATCTTCAAGTTGCCAAGGTTGAGAAACACTGCTCTAGGTCAACATCAGCCTTTCAGGATTTCAGAAATAGTTATTTCCCGATGCAATTTGGAGATGTCAGAATTGCATGCCAATCTAAAAAAAGTCAACTACTATCCTCTTTCCCCTCTCTAAATTTTGATTTAATAGGAAATTATAGCTGCTACCATTTCAGCTATGAAGTAACTAAAGGTTTTTCATCACTTTGGGATAGAACAGTGTTGGTCACGCTGAACACTCCAAGAATGCTATAAAGAAAATAAAAACATTTAACTTCTGTAGAGAAAGCAAAATAATTAAAGAACAAGAATGCAGGAGATGTATAGGCTATAAAATAAGGTCAGTTTCCTTGCTATTTTCATTAACACAGGATGGCTTGGTGGCAACTTTTCTTGACATATTTCTTACAGACTGGGTCTGGCAACTGCAGAATGAATGGAAAAGTTTGTACAAAGCTAAGCAACAGCAGCACTAAAATTTCTACAATTCACAAATTATGCATAACCCTAATTTCTTGTTGTTGTTGTTCAGTCGTTAAGTCGTGTCCGACTCTTCGTGACCCCATGAACCATATTGT